TTGTCCATTTATAGTACCACCAGGAATCATTTATCACTCCACTTATCAATTTATATAGCAATTTGTGTCTGTCTTCATTTTGAAAGCAGATTCCAAAAGATTTAAGTCAATGATGAAAACACTTTTCTAAATGTATCTTGGAGATAGAATGTTTGAGGGGAAAAAAAAAAAGATAAGGAGTCCCTTTCCAACGGTAGATTACAATGTAGTGGCTAAAGACTAGATTGCCTGGGTTTGAACATTGGATCTGACACTTACAAAGTCTGGAACTTTAGCAGGCTGAGCTGTTTCTTCATCTATAAATAGGTTAATAATAAATCCTATTTTCTAAGTATTCCATGATATAAGAGTGCCATACAATAAGCTATAACTATAATATAGATGCATCATTCACATCTTGATATTTTAAAATTATACTCCAAGTATTTACTTAGTTCATTTTTCTTCCTTCTGGGGGATTCATGGAAAATACACTAAATGCACGTAAACTACCTGTAGCGTTTGATCATTTTATTCTTTATCAATCAGTATATCAGTAAGATGTATTGCCAAGGAAGCAGAATTCAGTGACAGCTTGCAAGTTTTTATTACCAGCAACAGTGTTTGGCGATGGAGAGGTTCCTTAAGCAAACTGGCAAAGGATAGAGCTTTTTGATGCTGGTTTTCTGTTCACCTATTGTATTGGCCCTACAAGCTATCCACAGTCATTTGTTTATAACTATTTGAGAATGTACACTGAATGTACACATATTTCAATGTATTAGGAAAAGAATTTCCTATGACTCTACTGATACAAAATCACTTAACTTGTTACATTTGCTAGGCTGAAGTTAGTTTTACAATGTGCATGTAGAAACTATGCACTGAGGGGCCTTGCTATTTCAACTGTTACTAGAATTTGTATAGGAAAGTGAATATTATCAGCTAAAAGTTTTCCCTATTATTTTGTGAATCATTAAAAAGCACTTTGCCAACATTCAATATTAGTATGTTAATATAATCAAGATTAGTTTGTTTGGAAGTAAAGATATTCTCTAAAAATACTGTTGTTTATACATGAGGTTTTCACAAACTTAGGTTGCTCTCCTTCAAATGGCACTCTTAGTTTAAATAAACTTTTCATTCTGTTTCTTATTCCATCAAGGCACAATATCAAACAGTAGTAGAAACATTCCTGTCCTCAGTATGTGATGTGAGAAGTTACTGTCTCTATGTGGCAGCTGTATGTAGTCTCTCACTCAGATTCCCTTTCACCCAAAGGTGACTAACAGACATTTGTTGCCAAACCCTTGGCTCTACTCTAGACTTCATGTCAAACATGCTCTCTAAGGTTATGCCTCGCATTCTAGAACAAAGACTCTCCTGTCTTCCTAACCTCAAGTGATACCACTAGCAGAATGTCTCTATAAGCACTGAATCCTAGCCTTGCACTTGTAAGAAAATCACTTTGTGAAAAAAGGAATGGGCCATGTTCATGTATGTAATTTCTACATATTGTAGAAGCTTGTGGAGTCACAGGTGAACGAGTAAGTCAGAGACAATAATCTGCAAGGATAGAGAACAATGACTTAAGATACAACATAAGCACTAAACCAGAGACTCCTGTATGACACTGTTCATCTAGCAGGAATACAGTAATCTGAGAACTAAAAGATAAAATACTCATCTATTTGCCATTACTCCCGGTGACTCACTGGGAACATTTGTGCTCTGCAAGCACAACACGCATGTGCTGAGGAGTTACTTATCTTCAGAAGTTTCCCCTCCTTCAAGGGAGCAGAGCAAGGACTGATCGAGTGAAAAGATTTGTATACTTGTAGGACACTGTTAGTACTTTGCACACCAGGGGCAGCAAGCTGCGGTCACTGGCTATCAGGCCAGTATGGTTTTGCTTTCACCAAGTGATTCAGGCATGGAACCCAGATGATCCACGTGGGATGCCCTTAGAATGTCCTTCACCAATTGTGATTCATTATTGAAACATGAGGCAAGCCTAGACTGAAATGAGTATGATGCACAGAGACTAAGGGCCCTTAAGAATAAATGTTTAAGTCATACCATCAGGTAAAATAAAATAATGCTTAAGTGGTAGCTGAGATTGAGAATATGGAGTAGGCAGTAGAGAATAGAACACATACCAGGATGGCCCAAGACTAACTGCAATGTCAAGGATTACAGCTTGTTCAGCTGGCCTTCCTTCTCTACACTCAAGCCTAGAGAGAGGTTTCTCATGGACACACTTGCTATTAACTGGCTTGTAGACTACAGTCCATAGTAGTGCACTCTCAGAGGCACTACTGAGTTTGCATCAGTCCAAGTTTTTCCTGCACGGCTGTCAGATAATCCCTGAGCAAAACAGAGATACTAGAATTGAGCTATCTTTGCCCAATATGGAATTTCTGTAATAGACAACAATGGCTCAGAGTTGCCTGCGGACAAATTGGGACTCTTTCTACTCTTCCCTTTCTGTGTTGTCTTCAACTTGCATTACAATCTGTGTCTCCCTGCCTTCTCTTTTGATCCATCATAGGCATTTTCTCAAGTCTCACTTACACATCTAACAGTGGTTGGTAACTGCCATGTTAGGTGCTTTGAATTTCAGTCTTACCTTGGGTTGCTCTCCTCTTCTCTTGCCTTCTTTTTCAATGGTGGGGATCACTCTGGGATCTTGCTTATTCTAGACAATATTCTACCACTGAACTACAATACAATCTCCTAAATTTTTGTTTTTAATAGAACATTTGGGAGATGGTGGTCAAGAATTGTTTTGGTTTTGTTTAATCTATTTGAAAAACCTCTAAAAATTTTTTATAAGCCTAAGAACTGGTTTAAGACGATTCTGATATGTTAATCTCAGAGATGCAAATTTGTTTACTAAACTCTAGTGAATTTAACCTACCATTTTTATGGTGGCCCTGGTGGGACATTAAATCACAGAAAGTTGTATGGTGATTCTGAGAAGGCACTATGAGGAAGGCCAAGAGTATCTAAGAAGAATAAGCACAGGTATTATATTAGACAGACAGAATTCAGGTTTAGATAGTTTTAAAAGAAAAGACCCTTTTCAAGAGAACAAGGACCTGAAGGAGAGAGAATACAAAGATGCTTCAGAAGAGTGTGGGGGGACACGAATAAGTTAAAAATTGGTGTTCTTCTACAATGACTTCTAATGTATAGCTCAGCACTTTCAAAAATATAATTTCTTGTATTGTCAATACTTGTTTAATGTATTTATCTTACCAAATTAGCTAAAACTCCAAATGCTTAACTGATGATAGGAAAACGTTTATAATTCCAAGGTGGACAATAACCCATTTGGTCTTGAATGTATTGTTTTCCCTCCTCTAGCTCAAGGAAAAGAACCCATAGCCTTGTTCATGCTAGACAAGCCTTCTATCAATGGAGTCATATCCCCAAGCTCACAGACCTAAAGCTGCAGAATTTTAGATAATGAAACTGATATGCAGAAAACGCCTGCTCTAGTCACCCATACCAACTATTTGGAGATAATAAGATCATACTACAATAAAACTGAAGGTGTGCCATGCATTGAGCTTACTTAGGTCTTTGCTCTAACTTTCTACACCTAATCCATCCAATATTATTGGCTCTTTAAGACAGAGTCAGAATCCTCATTTCTCACTAACCTGTCTCCTTTATCACCTCTTTTCTGGATTGTAGACAGGTCCCCAATAGGGAACTCAATAGTTCTCCACACAGCACAGTACCATCATCCTTCCAGTTTTATCACACCTTTGTTCTAAAATCTGTACTGCTTACATACACTGTTTGACCCTCCCCTTCCATCACCATACCTCAGCTCTCACCCTAATCGTGACCTTCTTTTTGTTCATTTTGCTTAAATTACAAGAGTTCGTTCATCTTGTTTTTTCCATAAGCACTTGAGGCTTGAGTCTAATTTCCTTTCTACCTGGTGCTCCGCTCTTTACGCAGCTAACTCTTCTGTTTAAATTGAGTTCAACTTACCTCACCAATAAAGCTTTCCTAGACATTCTATTTGTCCCTCCCAATTTCTTTTGTTTTTTTTTTTTTTTGTCGGTCGTGGGGCTTGAACTCTGGGCCTGGGCGCTGTCCCTCCGCTCTTCAGCTCAAGGCGAGCACTCTGCCGCTAGAGCCGCAGCGCCACTTCCGGCTTCCTGGTGGTTTATTGGAGATAGGAGTCTCACGGACTTTCCCGCCCGGGCTGGCTTTGAACCGCGATCCTCAGATCTCAGCCTCCTGAGTAGCTAGGATGCCAGGCGTCAGCCACCGGCGCCCGGCTTCCCGATTCTCCCTCTCTAACGCACGGTTGCTTTTACCTGCGTGCGGTCTCCTCAGCTATCTCTACGGCCCTGACGCCAGGCCCCGGCGGCCTCGCCTGCGCACGCGCCGGCGGGCCTCGGCAGCACTGGGGCACGCGGCACTGGGGAAGCGCTCTGGACTCGTTCGGCGGCCAAGTCCCCTTTCTGGAAAGCGGCCGGCCTCGGGCTCAGAGCACGCTGAAGCTTTGCGGCCTCGGCGCGGGACTGGCGGGCAAACCCGGGAGGGGGGGCCCGCGTCGAGGGGCCCGGCCCCGACTCCACCCTGACCTCTGACCTCGGCTCACGCCGCGACCCCACGGACTCGGAGAGCAGCGCGGGTGTGCGGTTCCTTTCCCGGCGCGGCCCAGTGAGGGGGAGAGGGCGAGCGGCCCCACCCGCCACCCCGCAGCCGGCCGCGAACGCCGTCCCACCGACGCCGACCCCGCGCCCGGGCCGGGCGGCGGCGGCCTCGACGCAACTTTGGCGCCCTCACTTAGGTGTCCAGGACACGCCCGAACTTAACTTTTTAGTTCTTTTTTCCTCTTCTTTGAGCCAAGAGGCCATCGCCAGAAGGACGGGCGCCGCGGTAGCGTTTCCTCGGGGCTCCAGGGGTCCTGGGGGGCCGGCGACTGGGCCGCGACGTCGCCCCGCGGACAGGCAGCGGCGCGGACAACACGGGCGAGGACCCGCCTACGTCACACTCGCGACGCGCCGGCCTCCAGGTCCCGCCGCGCATGCGCTCGGCGGTCAGCATGAGGGTCGCGGCCCTGATCAGGTAACGAGTCGCCAGGCCGCCTCCGCGTTCCCTCAGCGGCCCCCGGCTGCCGCCCCCGGGTGGAAAGATGGGGCGTCCGTGCTGGCGCCTCGGGCCGGCCTGGTTTCTCCGGGACACCGAGAGGCGTCTGCGGGCGTTCGCCGGCCAGCGGGGCCCGGTCCCGGCCCGCACGCCTCCGGCGCGCCCGGCCTGGCTTTCGGGCCTAGTCCGAGTCCCTGGGAAGGGGCTGAGGGCCGGCGCCGCGGCCTCGCGCCCCGGCCGGAGGTTGGGAGCTGCCGCCTTCCCCGGGGCTGCTCGCCGTGTCGCCGGCCCGCTTTCCCCCGGGTCCTCACCCACGGGTGCCGGGGCCGCCCGGGCGGGCGACGCCTTCGCGCCCCACCGGTTCCGCCCTCGGAACGGGCGTGCGGCCCTCCTCCTCCCCTCCCGGCGGACGGCGGACCACAGTGCCGTTTTGCTCCTTTTTCTTCTGTTTTTGAGTTTGCTGCCCCCAGGGTGCGGCTGCCTGCGAGACTCCGGTTGTTGGAAGCGGCCTTCCCGCATCCCGCGCACCGGCGGCATGTGAGGAGCCTCACATGTAGGTGTCGGAGGTTGTCAAGTTCTCTCGCCCAGACCCGGCCCCACGGCAGCGTTTCAAACACAATAGCATCGGCTCGGGAGTTCAGACTCCTTGTCACCTGTGCCAGACTTGGATCAGAACAGTGTCCGACACACTTTTTAAGTCGTTCTAACGCAGTAGACTCGGTAACGATCCTAAGTTGACAAAGGTTTCTTGATAACATGCTCCCATCTTTCCTCAGTGGCTGGACTCCTTTCAGTTACTTGGACTTTCCCGCCAGTTTTAGACTAGGCCACAGTGGGACAATAAAACACTGCAATTCAGTAAATTCCCCCTGTACAGGGGATGTGGCTTTCATTTGTTCTAGATAAACTAGAAAAGTAGCCCAGTAAATAAGTTATTTACATTCATTTGGTCAAAAATGGCAGAGGAATGCAAGCCAATTGAAGGCAGAAGTATGGGAGAGAAGTAAAGATTGGCACAGTTCATTATCCTCTTCAATGAAAAGCTATGTTACTATTAAAATGAAAAACACAATGTTTGGAAATTGTTAAATTTAAAGAGCTATATAAATGTCAGGAAATACATAGTAATGAATACACAAGCTATATATAGTAATGCACACACTTATATGAATGCCCATGTATTACATACCTATTATGTAATTATTACATATAAAATAGGCATTTAAACAACACAATATTTGCCACTCGTGTGTCTGTGTATGTACAGGAGAGGCAAACATACAGCGAATGAGAAATAAGGTGTGTTTTAGGGAATAAGTGAAATATTTAAATAGCTTTAGAACATACAACCTTGTTTTCCTAATAGGCAATTTACTAAGTTTATCGTACTATGACACCGGGGATATTCTAGACAAGTCTTTTTCTTTTTTTTTTTAACTGAGGCCTTAACCTAAGCACATTGACTAGCTTAGTTTAGCAATTAATTTAGGAATTAAAAGTCCGGGTCTGTAGACTTTTCCACCTAACATGTATTGTCATGCCTGGTATCTATGGGAGATTGGTTCCAGGACCACCATGGATACTCACATCTGTAAATGCCAAGTGCTTCATGTAAAATGTTGTATACAGCTCAAGTACACTCTCCTGCATAATCATCTCTGGATTATTTATAATGCCTAATATAAATGCCATATAACTAGCTGTTACATGTCATTGCTTAGTGAATAATAACACAAAGCTGAACAACAGGACCCGTACCTGTAGCTGGTATTGTATGTAGTTACTCAGAAGGCAAGAGCTGGAGGGACATGGTTTGAGGTCGCCACCCACTCTCCCCACCTCTTTCATCAAACACTGGGAAGTCTATTCCCAGTTATGTGGGAAACATAGGTAGGAGGATTGCAGTCTGAGCCTAGCTCTGGGCAAAGAGTACAAGACATCGTCTTCACAATAAACTGGAGTTCAAAACTTCAAAAGAACTGGAGTCTTGTCCAAGGTAGTAGAGTGCTTACCTGGGAAAAAGTCTTTACGTGTTCAGTTAGATTCTTTTTCCCAAAACAATTTTTTGACTTGGAATTGGCTGAACTCATGTAATCAGCTGTTCAGTGGGGTTCTAAATGAGAGTGATGTGTTTGGCATTTAGCAAGGTTGTTTGCCTTGGAAAGCCTTTTTCCTAGGGTATTCAGCTAACATTTTCCCGGACACCAGCATTCTAGAGAACTCAAATTAGGAATTAATATTGTGAAACTTGAAAATATCAGCCTATTTTAAAATAAATTGTAAGGCTAAGTTTTGACTGAATTCACATTGTGATAGTAGAGCATTTCCCTTTTGTTTGGGGGAAAGTGAGCAGTATGTTCACTGAAGGAAGTTGTGGGAAATCTGCTTAATGGCATGGAATATCAATCTGAAGAGAGCGTGGGTTTTTAACATTCCTTTTGCCCCTCATCCTTTCCTTCCCACTGAGACCTTCCGAAATCAGGGTTGCATATACCACAAGGCTGAAGTACTGATACTTCTCATTTGGGTTTTCATCCTTACAGATTGAAACTAAGTATATATCATGAAGTTGGAAATCAAACTTAATTTCATTTGTGATAGTAGCTAGTAGTTAGATTTCTTACGATGGAACAGATTATTGTTATTATTTACAGTATTTCATCTAATGAGTATATTTATCTGGGATGTAAATTTCAAAACATTTTTCATTTGTAAAGCACTTTATTAGAGCCACTATTGCAAATACCATAAGCTCTTTAAAGGAGCAACTTTAAGACATTGAGATTAATTTGCTTATCTTAAAATTTAGAAATTAATGTATTATTACTATTATCTAATTGTGAAACAATCCTTTTATTCAGAATAGGTGAAGAAATAATGTATTCTGATATCTAGTGATTCTATGTTGTATTTTGGTCAGTAACCCGATAATCATCTGCGCTCTCTCTCTCTCTCTCTCTCTCTCTCTCTCTCTCTCTCTCTCTCTCTCTCTCTTTCTCTCTTTCTTTGTCCCCCCACTTTCTCTCTCATTTGTTTTTTAGTGGTGGGAAGGACAGCTGTTACAATATGATGCAGTGCATTTCTGCTGGACATCAGATTGTTGCTTTAGCAAACTTAAGACCAGATGAAAACCAAGGTACGTGTATACCTTTATTGGGAAGTTCTCTAGGTGACTGAAATTCAGCTTTGTAATCATATCTTTCTGTATGCAGTAGGCAAAGAGAACAAAAGACCAACTTGTATTTAGCCATATTAGAAGTGGGACCGTAAATAGAGCTTGGCATTTTTCACCTTTGGAAGCATTATTAATCCTATCTTTACTAGGTAGAGATACTGAAGCTTAGAGTTTTGTTAAATTTGCCAGAAGTAAAATAGCCAGTGCAAACATTCAGAAATGAGACTGGAACTCTCTCACTTCAGTGTGCAGTAATATTCTACTGTACCACATGTGCAAGTGTTGCAGGCAGTGTATAAGTAAAATACAGGCTCATGCCTCAGAGAGGGTGGCAGGCAGACATGTTGTAATATGTGAATGTTACTAGTGAAAAGGTACAGCTCAATTTTCTTACATTCAGGTCAAACATGAGACTTGACAGTACTATAGAGCAATTTATTTCCACCTTTTAATTATAGTCTAAAAATCTACTTTTTAAATGAAATTTCTTGATTATAACTTTTTAAAGAATGAACACTTACCACTTCACTTTTTGTACTTTTGTTATGCTTATACAACTAGAGATATTAACTGCTAACTTTAAAGAAAAAAAAGCACTGACCTAACTTTATGCATTGCTACTTTTCTATGTGGTTCTTTTAATATGATCCTCTTAGTATCTCTTTTCTGTAACTTTTCCCAGCCTATGTTTTTGCTCTACTGTTATTTTCAAATGAATTAAGGAGTAGTGTATGTGAAAACATTAATCATAGTTCATGTCATGGAGATAATATATGGTAAATTTAATTGAATTATAACCTAACACTAAAGGTCTTCCTTTTCTTGGAACTGCCTTCTGCTGTATTTTTGTTTCTATATCCTTTTATAATTGCTCCTTTATTTTTTCTATAAATACTCAGATTGATTATGAGATTCTTGAAAGCAGACATCATATCTTGTATCTTCCATTAAGTGCTCCTGAACACTTAGCACAGTGATTTGTGTCCAGTAGAAATTCACTCAAAGCTTATTCATTGGGTCACTGAATAATGAACTCGTTTGAATGATCCCTGGAACTACAAGAACTTCTGTTAGTCAGTTACTTGAATTTCCTTTCATGATCAAAACCCATTTAACTGACTGTGGAAATGATGTGGAAAGTAGAGAATAGAAGCGTTTCATAAATAGCACAGATTCCATACAGTCATGGTTAATGTCATAGTTAACGTTAGTGATGAGTCATCACCAATTTTTTCAGAAGTAAGAGCTTTTTTTTTGTAAATGAAAATGGCATTCTAGTTCTAACTTTAAATAAGAAAGACTTTGAAGCTGAGCGAGAACCATTATGTAACTTCCGTATTATGAAAGAAAAGTAAACTCTCAGGATTACACTATTACAAAAGAAAACATTCCTTTATCCCATATTGCTAGCCAGGATAGGTGGGTCTTTTAATCTGTCTTGATAGGTCTTAGTAGTTAAAAATCAGATGTTTATATTATTCATAATATACATATGATATGATTTCTCTCTTGAGTTTCTATCTTGTTTGCAGCTTTTCTACATCATTTATTGTATTCATCTTGTATGGAGTCATTAATGTTTAATCTTCTTATGTGCATAGTTTACTGGCAGAGCAGTGTAATGACAAGCATGTCTTTAAATCATACCTGTTAGTGTGGAATGCAGACATTTATTTAAAATACTGTTAGTGATTAAAAATTTAAGAGTAAATGGAATTAGAATATTATTAGGGAAGAAGTGAGCTGAATCTACAGTAACTGTTGTAGAAGAGAACAGATTGCCACGGGTTGGTAGATAGGGGGACTTTCTCTGATATTCAGTTATAGTCAGTGAAAAGTTGAGATCATTGAATGGCTTCTTTTGCCTTCTGACATGTTGCAAAAAGAACCTCAAAGAGGAATGACTACTAGCAAGGACTCTGGAAGAAAATTGGTTAGAGAATATTGTGTTTTCAGTAGATAGTCTGGAAAAGATGTTTACATCAATGGGGATAATGTGCATTTGTTATAAAATTTATAAAACCATCTCTTGTAGTAACTTTTCTGACATGTTCATTAAAGTGCTTTGGACAACAGTGATTTATTTTATCTCATGTCAGTTTGACATGTAACAAAGTTACATTGTGGTGAAGATTAACTAGAGCCTAAAAAAAAGTTATTTACCAGGTTTTTTTGTTGTTGTTGTTGTTGCTGTTGTTGTTTTGTCAATTGTGGGTCTTGAACTCTGGGCCTGAACACTGTCCCTGCGCTCTTCAGCTCAAGGCAAACGCTCCACCACTTTAGCCACAGCACCACTTCCGGTTTTCTGGTGGTTAATTGGAGATAAGAGTCTCACGGACGTTCCTGCCCGGGCTGGCTTTGAACTGTGATCCTCAGATCTCAGCCTCCTGAGTGGCTAGGATTATAGGCATGAGCCACCCACACCCAACTTTACTAGGTTTTTGAAGCCTGCAAAATGTTTTAGTTATTATACTGATAGCAAGATGTTTCTTTCTAAGAAGCACACATTTCTTTGAATAGATTGATTTAGTATAATAAGATCCTTTCACACTAAAACATTTAAAGATCCAGTCTAACTGTGGGTTGAGAGAAAACTAATAAAAGGTTTTTAGGTGACTTTGTATCTCTACTTCTTGCCTGGACCCAAACCAGACAGATTTATAATACTACTACTGTGAGTACCATTCTGCTGGAACCCAGTGTGTGTGTAAGAAATCTGGTGAGGCAAAATGAGATGGCTTATAATGTGGAGAACTTCCATTTTCTCTTTGATGGACTAGTTAACATGTGAAATGAAGTCTTGGGCCTGTTTGACATATATAAATCCATACACATATACGTAGGTATCAAAACATACATATGCATCTGACTTATTTTATAGTGTATTCTTTTTCTTAAGCGTGTTGTGAACATTTTCCATTCCATTAAATATTATTCTACAGTAGTATTTCTACTGTCTTCTTTGGCACACAAATACCTCCATGAAATATATGAATTCTGTAGATAGATAAAGTTAAGAGATGAAAGTATAGTATCCTAGGAAAACATGCAACAAAGACATCTATTAGGCATAATTTTTGTGTGTATATTATAAATTTTTTTGACATGCAATCCTTTTTACAATACCTTTGTATTAATGTATTTGGGAATTTATATTCTGGAGAACACACTTTGGAAAAAACTCATTTTAAAAATTATATTAATGAATGCATTTGTATTCATACTATGCTGTGATGAATCTTTAAAAATAATCTTTGTAAATATTCACAATACTTTTTCTAAAAAATAATTGAGATTAAAAAATGTATTGTTATATTTCTAAGTCCATTCATTTAATATAATATGGTCTAACATCTATTTTGAATATTTACCCATATTGATAATTTGTGAAAATATACCAAGAACATCTAAGTGTTTTCCAAAAAATACTGCTACTTACTAAGTAGTGACCTTGTGAATAACCTTGAATGATAGAAAAATATTTATGTAATAAAAATTTTAATTGAATAAACCAATCAAAATTTATTGAAAACATTACTCTTCCCTTTAAACATTGTTGCATATAGTTTTAATAATTTATATATAGTTTTATTAGTAATTAGTAGTAGACATGATTACAGCTGCTATGATCTAGACGGGATTACAGACAAATACACAGTGTTTACATATTCCATTGTATTACTGCAGAGGTCTTATAGGAAACTTTTGAGTTCTGTGCTGACTGCCCTTCAAGCTGTTCAAATCCATTTCATTTCACTCTGTTTTACTAATCCTTTCTACTTTCATTATTGCAGTGGGAACTGATGAATTGGATAGCTACATGTATCAGACAGTGGGTCACCACACCATTGACTTGTATGCAGAAGCAATGTCCCTTCCCCTCTACCGCAGGACCATAAGAGGCAAGAGCTTGGATACGGGACATGTGTACTCCAAATGTGAAGGTGATGAGGTTGAAGACCTCTATGAGCTTTTGAAACTTGTCAAGGTATGTGGAGTAACTAGTTACTTTTTTTTGGGGGGGGGGGTGTCCGGTCATGGGGTCTGAACTCTGGGCCTGGGCGCTGTCCCTGAGCTCTTCAGCTCAAGGCTAGCGCTCTACCACTTGAGCCACAGTGCCACTTCCGACTTTTTTCTTTTTGCTTATGTGGTACTGAGGAATCGAACTCAGGGCCTCATGCATGCAAGGCAAGTGCTCTACCACTGAGCCACCTTACTAGCCCCCATTTTTTTTTTTTTATTGTGAAAATACCATACAGAGGGGTTACAATTACATGGGCAAGGTAATGAGTACATTTCTTATCAAGCATTGTTGCCTCCTCCTTTGTTTCCCCTTCCCATCTCCCAGCCCCCCCACCCCGCTCCAAAGTTGTAAAATTCATTTTTCGACATAGCATCTTGTACGTCTCATTATTGCAATGGGTCCACCTGTATCCCTATTTAAACAATTAGTTTTTTCCCTCCCCCTCCACAAATTATACCAACATCAAATAAAGTGAAAGCAGAGGTTATACCGTGGGGGAGAGACATACAAAGCAACAAAGAAATCATCTTATAAATATGTTAGAAACAATTGCATGAAAGAAAAAACATTTGAATACTTGTCTTGGGGTTCATTTTTCCTAACATCAACTTATCTGACCTTTTCTGCTTGACTCAATTATTGCAAATAAGGGAAACCATGGGACCTAGGTTTCTTTGGGCCTGGCTTACTTCACTTAATTTAATTTTTTCCAAGTCTTTCCATTTCCTAACAAATGGGGCAATGTCATTCTTTCTGATGGAGACATAGAATTCCATCGTGTATATATTCCACATTTTCTTGATCCATTCATCTACTGAGGGGCATCTGGGTTGGTTCCGTATCTTAGCTATGGTAAATAAGGCTGCAATAAACATAGTTGTGCTGGTAGCTTTAGTATGGTCTTGTTTGTGACCATTTGGGTAAATGCCTAAAAGTGGGATTGCTGGGTCATAGGGGAGCTCTATGTGGAATCTTTTGAGGAACCTCCATACTACTTTCCAAAGTGATTGAACAAGTTTACACTCCCACCAACAATGCAGTAAGGTTCCCTTCTGTCCACATCCTCTCCAGCATCTGTTGTTATTAGAGTTCTTAATTATAGCCATTCTAACTGGGGTGAGGTGGTATCTCAATGTTATTTTGATTTGCATTTCTTTTATGGCTAGGGAGGTTGAGCATTTCTTCATGTGTCTATTGGCCATCCTTCTTTCCTCTTCAGAGAAGTTTCTCTTTAAGTCTTTAGCCCACTTATTTATTGGGCAGTGTTTGTTTGAGAATTTGTTGTTGGGGATTTAATTTTTTGAGTTCCAGGTATATTTTAGATATGAGACTCTTGTCCGTTGTATGGCTAGTGAAGATCTTCTCCCAATCGGTGGGCTTTCTATTGAGCTTGCTAGCTATGTCCTTTGCCATGCAGAAGCTCTGCAATTTCATGCAATCCCATTTGGTGGACTACTATTTCTAATGGAAAAGAATAGGCAGAACACAAACAACACAGTTAATATTGAAGATTGTGAAGAGAGAATAAGGCAGCATCAAAGTGGTAGCAGCTGATGGCAGGGAAGGCTGGGAGTGAGAGTAGACCTTGTGATAAGTTAGAACTAACACAATTGAGCCTGCTTAAATGTGTTGAGAGAAGCATCAGTTAGGTATTTACATTGCACATACAATTCTATAACCAACATGAACTTATTCTTGATATTATGTAGACAAAATTTAGAAGTATGGTACTCACAGACCTAGTAAGTATTCTGTTCAGTACCTGTTTACTAGTTGAGATGCTTTTATAGTGAGCAGTGACCTTACATTTTCATTGATAAACAACTATTTGAATATAGTTTCATATTTTTCTCAACTGTAAATTTTATCCAGTCAGCTATACTCAGTTCACATAAGGGTGTACTGATGAAATAGGAAATTTTAGGCCAGTATTTCCTGGATGTCTTAGACATATTTTCACAATAAGAAGATAAATAAAAAGATTTCTATTCTTTCTTCCCCCAAAGGACATTGCATCATTTGCTCATTCTTCAGAGAAGTCCAACCTTCTCAGAAGTTCATCATGAAGTAGTGTTATGAACATTTCCTACTTGCAAATCATTGCTTCATGAATGTACTTCAAAATTAGTACTAGTCAGGCTCAATACCAATTAAAGATTTTGATTTGAAATAAAACTATATAGGAATCACCTAAGTTCTTTCAAATTTGCTTGATTATAATAGTTCTTATTTTGTATTTTAGAATTTTAAAGACAGAAAAACAGTTGTTCTATAATTTACTATTCATCTACACATGCATAAGTAGATACTTTTCACCGAAAATCACCGGGAGAGTACCTGCTAATTTTAACTATTTGGTTTATCAAAGAAGAAGCTCAAATCCAAAATGTTGGTTAGTCAGAGATAAGAGTCTCGCAAACTGCCCAAGCTGGCTTGAACTGCAAACCTCAGATTTCAGACTCATGGGTTACTAGGATTACAGGTATGAATCACTGGTGCCCAACCTTGACATTAAGACTTTAATATAAACCAGTGTTACAGATTGGTGGAACTTAGAAGGAATTGAGTTGTTTAAAAATTGCAAACTTGGTAACAGGAAGCTCTGTGATAATAATAGCTCTCCAAGAAATGGAAAGATAATAAATTACTAATCTATTTAATTAAAAATAGGAAGATTAGTAGTAATTAAGAAGAAATTTCCTTTCAGTCTATGCTGTCTTTGGAGAAATGGATGCTTTGCCATTATCTTTATAGTAACCATCAGTTATGATATAAATTATTGTTAATGTTAAATCTTGACAACTTCTGCTCTAGAATTTCATACCTGGTAATTATAACTATAGTTTAAAGAGATATTATCAAGTTGTCTTGAACTAAATAGTTATTTCTTTTCCTGTGTAGAAATACTCATTTCACTATGGGATGTTTTAAGGACATAAATATCAGAGATATATTGCTTTTATGAAAGAAATTGTATGATTAGGTTTTTATAGTTCAGTCCATTTCTGAAACACTGATACAAAAATTCCAAGAGAGGTCATACATATTCTAATGAATAATTGAGTAATCATATAAAAAAACTAATCTAGAAAAGCTGTAATTTTTCAAGTTAGTCTTCACTTGTTCTTAGAAGAAGATAGAACTGCATTTTAATTATACTTTGAATATTAATGAATTATTGAATATATGTAGATTTAATTTCATGTTCAGCATTTATTTATAATACATTGCACTTTAGTGACTTTCATATGTAGGTTATTGTTTTATTTTTTATGTCTCATTTCTCCTCCAAATATTAGAACTGAGTTTTGCCTAGGAGATGTTCTAGTTTTCAGAGTCTCTAAAAGGACATTAAACAAAGTAGTTAAGTCCAAAATGTATCCTATTATTTTATTTGAAATGATTTATCTATTATGGAATCACCATGATATTGTTTAAATATATGATGTAAAACCAACATTGAATTGACTGTTTTTGTTTTTCTATGTAGAAGCTTTAACAGAATGGGCATTATAGTAAATGTTTTCAAAATAAGGGATCTATCCTTTTGGAAGTGTAATCACTATCAGTAGTAAGAATAATTTCCAGCCTGACAATTTCGTGAAATTGATGAGCAAACAGCTCTCCAAAATACTTTTGCTATCTCCACTTTAGAAAACCTGCTTATAGTAAAAATTACTTCATGACTTTCTTTTCACTTGAGATCTTGAGGTATATCTGAAGGTATTTGAAGTGAAGAAATATAAAGTGGCCGCAGGTTTGCAGGGGGCCCCAGACAATGCTAATTAAACACGCACTTAGCCTTGTTCCTGGCTCTCCAACATAACGCAGCTTGCCTCAGGCCTTGTCAAGTCCCCAAAATTGGGACATTAAACCTGGTCCATTGGCACAGTAAATGCTCTTTAAGTATTGATTCTAGGCTCAACGAAAACTCAGTGATGGAGCAGAGCAGTCAGTGTCTTGTCCAGTCCCATGATTCACCAGACCAGTATCTTGTGCATTCCCAGCTGCAACTTCACTGAGCTGTGCATAATTAGTCCTTTCAAGTGATTAGGTGAGACATGTGTAAGGAATTACATAAGGAACGGTCTGTTTAGGAATAAAATATTGGGCAGTATTTGATAGGATTATAGTTACTAAACTTACCAGAGGCCCAGGGTCTCTACCTAAAGCCTAGAAAATACAACGCCATGCTCTTAGGGTAACCGTGGATATATCAAGTCTTGAAAACCAGGTATTGTGATGTCTCCAGCTTTGTTCTTTGTCCTCTAGCTTGCTTTTGGCTACACAGCATCTTTTCTGCTTCCATATGCAATTTAGGATTTTTTTTTCTAGTTCTGTGAGATATTTTTGACTCTATATATGGGCTTGGGTAGTGCAGAGATTTAAAAAACACATTATTTTTCTAATCCATGAACATTGAAAGTTCTGTGTATGTGTGTGTGTGTGTGTGTGTGTGTGTGTGTGTTTGTGTTCCTTTTCAATTTCATCAGTGTTTGTATTTTTACTGTAGATGTCTTTTCCTTTCCAAGGTAAAATTTTTTTCCTAAAAAACTTTATGGCTATTATGAATGGGAGTTCTTTAATTATTTCTCAACAGTCTCCTCATTGGTGTGTATAAAAACGCTACTTATTTTTGTGTATTGATTTCATATCCTGCTAGTACTTGATTTTTGAATGAGTTCTATTAGGAGTCAAGTAGAATCTGTAGGGGTGCGTGCGTGCGTGCGTGCGTGTGTGTGTGTGTGTGTGTGTGTGTTGTGTGTGTGTGTGTAAGTTCTAGTAGTGAAGCAGGGTCAAAAATCACTACCCTGAAGGTTTTGCAAAAGGAATAAGAGTATAATAGGGTTATAAAGCAACCTTAAGGTCATCAGGCTGAACCTCTAAGAGTATAAGAAATGAATTAGAGAAATACAACTGTGTAGAGCCACTCAAATACCTGGTGTCAAAATACATGGCTAACT